GGGAATGCTGGGGGCGTCCTGGGAATGCTGGGGGTGTCCTGGGAATGTTGGGAATGATAGGGGTGTCTCAGGAATGCTGGGAATTCTAGGRGTGTCCCAGGAATGTTGGGAGTGCTGGRGGTGTCCTGGGAATGCTGGGAATGCTGGGGGTGTCCCAGGAATGTTGGGAGTGCTGGAGGTGTCCCGGGAATGCTGGGGGTGTCCTGGGAATTTTGGGAATGCTGGAGGCGTCCCGGGAACATTGGGGGTGTTCCGGGAATGCTGGAATGCTGGGGGTGTCCTGGGAACATCAGGGGTGACCCAGGAGTGTTGGGGGTGTCCCAGGAATGCTGGGAGTGTCCTGGGAATGTCAGGGGTATCCCAGGAATGCTGGGGATGTCCCAGGAATGTCGGGGGTGTCCCGGGAATGGCGGGAGCATCCCGGCAATGTCGGGGGACGTCCCGGGAACGTCGCGTCACCCCCCGGCTCCGGCAGGTACCGGAAAATGAAGGAGCGCTTGGGATTGACGGAGATCCGCAAGCAGGCGAACCGCATGAGCTTCGGAGAGGTCGCTCCCGCCGCGTTTTCCGGCTTTTTCCCGGGTTTCCGGCCTTCGGGATGGGCTTCCCGGCCTTATCCCGTGTTCCCCGTTCCCAGATTGAGGAAGACGCCTACCAGGAAGACCTGGGATTCAGCCTGGGCCACCTGGGCAAGGCGGGAAGCGGCCGCGTGCGGCAGACGCAGGTGAACGAGGCCACCAAGGCGCGCATCTCCAAGACGCTGCAGGTAGGGAAAACTCCGGGAAAACTCCGGGAAAACGCTCGGAAAACCGCGGGGAAAATGGGGGAGACCGCGGGAAGAAGCGTGGGAAAACGCGGGAAACCACGGGAAAAGCGTGGGAAAACACGGGAAGAATGTCGAAAAGTGTGGAAAACGGTGGGAAATGTGGAAAACTGTGGGAAACCATGGAAAAAGCATGGTAAAACGCAGAAAACCATGGAAAACATGTAAATCTGGAAAAATGTGGGGAAAACAGGGTAAAATGCAGAAAACCGTGGAAAAGCATGGAAAACCATGGAAAATGTGGGAAACCATGGAAAAACCATGGTAAAACACACAGAACCACGGGAAAACCATGGTAAAGTGCACAAAACCATGGAAAACATGTAAATCCATGTCAAAACCATGGAAAAACCATGGTAAAACACGGGAAAACGTGGGAAAGTGTGGGAAGGCATGGGAAACCGTGGAAAAACACGGAAAACCATGGAAAATTGTGGAAAAGCATGGAAAATTATGGAAAACCATGGGAAATTTTGGAAAAACGATGGGAAACCGTGGAAAGCCATGGAAAATGGCAAAAAAAACATGGAAAGCCCTGGAAAAACCGTGGAAAACCCCAGGAAACCATGGAAAACCACCATAAACCGTGGAAAACCATGGAAAACCACAGAAAACTGTGGAAATCCATGGAAAACCACAGAAAACTGTGGAAAACCACGGAAAAACCATGGAAAACCATGGAAAAACCATGGAAAACCATGGAAAAACCATGGAAAACCATGGAAAAAAACGTGGAAAACCATGGAAGAAACATGGAAAACTGTGGAAAACCATGGGAAAACCATGGGAAACCATGGAACCCCCCCCTTTGCGTCCGCCATGGGCCGCTTCCCATGGGGCCGACATTCCGGAATTCCGCAGCGGACGCTCCAGAAGCAGAGCGTGGTGTACGGCGGCAAGTCGACGATCCGGGACCGCGCGTCGGGAACGGCGTCCAGCGTGGCCTTCACCCCGCTGCAGGTGAGCGGGAGCGGCGGGGCGGATTCCGGGAAGCGGGAATGGCTCCCGGAATTCCCACCGCGCCCGCTTTTCCGTAGGGGCTGGAGATCGTCAACCCGCAGGCGGCGGAGAAGAAGGTGGCCGAGGCCAACCAGAAGTATTTCTCCAGCATGGCGGAATTCCTCAAGGTGAAGGGCGAGAGGAGCGGGATCCTCGGCGATTCCTGAGCCCCGCCGCTTCCCGCGGGATTTGCCCGAGGGGTTCCAGAGGGGGCGGGGCCGGTTTCCCAGCCGGGATGGCCCCGCCCCGGATCCTCGGCGCCTGGATGGGAATTGGGAGTTTTCCCGCCGTTTCGTGGCCGGCTCTGGAATGCCGGGATGGACTCTGGAATTCTGGGATTTTGGGGGGGGTGGAATGCTGGGATGGACTCCGGAATTCTGGGATTTGGGGAGGGGTGGGGGCCGTTTTCCGCCCGCGATTGGATCGGGATTTCCAATGTTTTTCCATAAAAAAAAA